TCGGCTCCAGACGTGCTCTCCTCTCTTTCTCTCTCTCTTGGCCATAATTGAAAATAACGATTTTCTTTTTGCAGCTCGGGCCTAACACCCGCAAGAAATGTAATTCATTAAAAATTTGTCATGGAACGGAGTGTGCGAGTCCTTCGGCTGCGAATGCAAGGAGTCAACGTACGCAGCTGGGTCTCGTCCGGATGATGACGATGACGATGATGTCGACGACGTTTACAAATTTTAATTGCATTTCAATTACGAAAATAGTTTTTTTTTAGCCCCCGCTTACATATATGTATGTATGAGGAGGGAAATGCATTGGCATTCGCCAGGATGCAGTCTAGAAGGACTCCTCCATGTCTGTGTGCAGTCAAGTGGCATTCAGTCAAACAGCCCATAGCCAGGACCAGACTGCATCCAAGGATGTAAATCCACTACCAAAAATTAGTGCTCTTACAAATCTGCTTAATTTGTTAAAGCAAAACGTATTAAGTATTTATTTTCTTTAATTAAATCTAATAATTTGCCATGAAATTAGATTATTACCATTAAGGGAATTGCTTGCTATAAAATTATAATCTACATATGAAAATATTTTGACAGTGCAAGCCCTGGGAAGTATATCAATTGTTTAAGTTATGAGCCAACTACAGGGTTGAACTGAGGAAGGCAAGAGTAGCAGCAGGGAGCAGAAATGTAAGCATTGCTTTGGTTTGTTGGTCCTGGCAAAACTTTTTCCACTTCATTTGTGCATTAAAATTACGCACACAAGGACGGCCAACAGGGCGTATGCTTAATTAAATGTAACACACACACAAACACACAAATATTTCGCACACTCGCGACATAAAGTCAGGCCAAAAGTCTACTGCCACTAACCACACTCACGTACAGTGCCTGTCATAAATGGCTGCACACAGTCAGCGGAGCCAGGCGCAGCAAGTCAAACCAATTGACAATTGCTGTTTGCCTTTTGGTCTGGCCGGATTTTTATACTCCTTTTCAATGCTGTCTCAATATTGATACAGAAAAATATAAACGGAAAAAGAGAGAAGGCAAAAATTATGACAATATTATTTTATTGACTGCGAAAATATTTACACGCAACGCGTAGAGGAGACCGGAGGAGACGTGCGAATGATATTCGAGACAGGGCGGCACGCGCAGGATTCAACAGGATTCACAGGACTCGGACACGGACACTTGCCAAACTGTCGCCTCTTATTGGTTATGGCAATAAAAACGTTCAAGTGTTTGGCCAGCAGCAGCAGCAGCAGCAAAAAGGGATTGGCCATCACATTGAGCACACACTTGAGCTTTAAATTGGCGGCATGACGCCACAACGGGTGAGTTTCAAGCTGATTTCGAGATTTGCAGGGAGCTCAAGGGATCACCGGTCATGCATAATGAAAACAAGCTGCACACACACACTGGATATATATACAAATTGTGTAGATATATATTTGTATATTTTTTTTTAGCATATTCTATCGCCTGTCTGGTCGGGGAATTAGCCATGCTAAAAGCCGGTTATATATATTTTTTATACACAAACCGGCAACAGCTGTGTGGCGAAGGAGTTTCGCTATAGAATATATTGTTTTATTTTTTTTCGTTGTTTTTTTTTTATTTCACCTATATGGATGGCATAGGTGGTGAGCTGACCATTAAGCCCCCAAAATCGGTCAATAAACAAACAAATGTTGGTGGACTATACAAACAGCGTGGCCTGCGATGCATGTGTGAGGGCTGTAACAATAAACAACAAACTGAAACGGCAGGAGGTGTAGTGTGGTGTGTGTATGGTGGGTGTTGTGTTGCTGTTGCTGTGTGTATGGCCAGTGTGGCGACAACAAAAGCAAAACACGGTTCTGGCCACGCTTGATGTTTCTAGCCGGACACGCGACATGGCCACGCCATCGAAGCACAGGGAGAAATATTACCATACAATTTTTGATAGTTTTTTAAAATTAAAAGGATATTTATGAGATGTAAATTAACCAATTTTTGTGGTTAACAACCTCTTCCTAGTCTCTTATTTTCTTTGGGGAAAAAGCCAAGACCAGCTAGTCACTTAAGGATTATTTAAGATATAAATTCATGTATTCTATAAAAAGATTTTTAAGCTTGTCCTGCTCAGAATTCTGCTTTAAAATTTCTGAAGATGCACAACTTCCCTTATATAATTCACTTTTATAAAAGTCTTAAAAAGACATTATTTAATAGATTCTATTATGGCTTTACTTAATTTTTCTCTCCCTGTATTTTTTGTGGAATTAGCTAGTACTATTTCCTGGACTCCCTGGGGTCTCATATACCTGGCATAAAATATTCCTAATAATAAAAAATCAAATAAATCAAGCGAAACTATTTATTAGCAGGCCCGAAAATTCAACTTGCTGCTGCGTTGGAGTCCTAGTCCAAGTCCTAGTCTGGAGTCCTGTTTCCCCCATTCACTTCAAAAGCGAGTATATGTGTTTGGTTCATTCAATCGCCGCACGCACACACCAGGACACTAAACCAACACACACACACACACAGCCATGGGAGCCACTCAGTTCAAGTGGATGGGCGTGGCAGGAGCCCCCTCTCCATACGCGTTGCACATGCCAAAGTGTTTTTATTACATTTACGTGAAAAATTTGTTGCATGTCCTGCGGAGTCCGTGTAACGGAAATAACCATGAATGAGTGTGTGTGTGTATGTGTGGGGCTATCGATGTATTGGTTTAGTGGCACACACAAATACTCTTACAATTGAACGTGGAGAAGTGCGTGTGTTTATCTAAGGCTCGACCACACAATGCTCATTGTTGCTTTTTGGTCTCTTGCTATTTACTTGTCTGGCCTTTGTGTTGTGCTGTCCTTTCCACCTCTCTCACTCTCTAGTTTCTGCTCCTCTTTTCTTGCAGTGCAATAAAAGTGTCCTTATACATTTATTTAGCAATTCCTTTTGTTATTATTTCTGCCTTTTGTGTGTGAGAGCTTTAAGTGTGCGATGCGAATTCATTGGGTTTTCCACGGGAATTTCTTTTTCTCTTTAAGCGCGACTTTAATGGCTGCCTTCGCTCTTTTCCCCTATGTGTGTGTGTGTTTGCTCAAGAACTTTGCGTGGAAAATTAAAATGGCCGCAGGTGGCAGGTGTCAAAAAGAAGGGGGAGGAGTGGGGAGGTTGGCCACCAAAATGCCGTTGGGTCAAAGTCGTCGTCTGTGCGACGGCCATTGAACACAATGGGCAAAAAGGGAGAGGAAAGGGTGTAAAGGTGAACCGCTAACTGCCTTTCCATCTCTCTTTAACAGTATCCTTCTCTCTCTTTTTGCTGGTGTGTGTGTGTCTGTGCTTGTTGCTTTTTAATTAATAGAAAAGTCCTTTGTAAAGTAATAAATAAATATTATGCTTCCGCTTTTGCGTACACTCTCCTCTTTTTTATTTTTTCTCGCTTTCCGTCGATTGCCATTCACAGGCTTCCCCTTTGCTCCCTTTACACCCTTTTTGGCCTTCCTTTTCCGGTTTTTGTTTTTTTTTTTATTTTGTTGTTGTTTTATTTCCCGCTGACCTTTGACTGTCTGGCGGCTAATGCTCAAGCCTTTCTCTTTGTGGCGAAACATACATACATATATAGCCCCGGACACATAGTACACCCATCAGCCGCCGCCATGTGGCTGCCGGCACTGAATGCTGTTAATTACAGCGAAATTGCAAAAGCATTTTCAAAAATCCCCCCCGTACTACATTTATAGCCCCCAGAAAAAAAGAGGATATCGATACCATATCCTGCTCCTGCAACCTGGCGGCGAAGGACGCTGGCTGCATGTGGCGTTAATTAAATTCAACCCCCCAAAAAAACAATCGCCATGCGGAGGCAGTCGATTACTTTTGAATTTCAGCAGCGGAAATTGTTGCCTATTGATTTGTTTACACTGGCAATCATTTTGTGGCTCACTGGATTTTTGCGGGTAGATTGGGTGTGCTTTCAGTTTTCAGTTAGCGAGGCCTGCCTGTGATGCCTGCCTGCCTGCTCCTGTGAGCCTGTCAAATATTTGCCTAATGTGTGGTTCATTCTGCTGGTTTCGCTTCAGTTTCGTCGGCTTTTGGTGTGCGGTTTTGATTAGCTTTATTACTTTGCGGCGGTCATATGCAGGGTGGGTTTTTTGGGGGGGCTCCACCACCGCCACCACTGATGCCGCCTCCACCACCGAATATGTGTATTTGTGCGGCTAATTAATGTGTCGACACAGTGCGTGGCCACCAGTCAGCGGCCACCGGTCATAATGCAAAAGGCCTCACCGCTCTGACCCACCGATTTTTCTCCCCTTCATAATTCCCACACAAAGTGGGAAAGCAGAATGTTTTTGCCGTTGACTTGTTTTCCATGCTAATTAGTAGGTTAATTGGCTATAGGCATCAAAGCGCGGGCGCGCACCTTCAATTGGGGCACTCAAGTGCCATGGCGACTTTGTGGCCAAGTTGAAGGCTTAAGTCTAATGCTGCACGGTGAAAAATTGTTTAGAATTTAAGAGGGGAAAATGGGTACAAAATTCGAATCAATTTTGTACACTTTTCATGTTATAGAATGCATAGAATCATTGAATAATAATATAGTAAAATAAATGTTATATATAAAATAAATAAATCTATATCTGAATGATATTCCCTAGTTCTTCCATTCATTATGTTTCCATATTATCCCCTCCTGCATTACATCAGATCTAAGTCTACTTATTTTTTCCCCGTGCAACCCGATTGTTCCCTGTGGGCGTGGCTAATTGGCAGACAAAAAAACCCCATCCATGTGCCTCCCAAGACTATGGCTGCAAAATGCACTTAACTTGAGCGTCGCTCAGGGGACAAAGGCAAAAACTGGTAGAAGGTAAAGGTAAAGCTTAAGCCAAGACAAAAGGACGAAGCGGTGGTAACAGCTTACAGGGAAATATATAAAGTATAAGGTAAAAGGTAAAGAGGGAAAGAAGAGACACAGTAAGATAGAGAGCTGAGGGGGGAAAACTTACCAATTCCGCCGGCCAGAACTGTGCCCGGTTCCAGCTTGGCCTTCTTTGTGGCCAGGTCCTGATTGTTATTGTCGGAAGCGGGCGCCATGACTGCTGCTTGACTCAAAAGTTCGTCGCTTCCGCGCTGATTTACGGCAAACACAGAGGTAGTTACAGGTGCGGGTGCAGAGATACAGATGCAGATGCAGGAGCGGTAGCGGGAGCAGATTCAGATACAGATGCAGATACAGATGCAGATGCAGGAGAGCAGGAGCAAGGTAGGCACAGGCACAGGCAGTTGGTTAATACATTATTATTTCATATATATATTTAATATATATTTCATGTTTGTTTGTAGTTTTGTAGTTGAGGCACAGGCGGCAGGGCAGGCACAGACAGAAGTTGAAGATGGTTACAGATGGTTTTTTTTTATTTTCAGTAGTAGTGGTGGTGTGTAGTTGTAGTAGATGAAGTATATATATATACGTATACGAGTACGGTACATAAAAAGAGAAAAATAAAAGAGAGAGAGAACAATATAAATATTTAATATTTACGCAAGTTAAATAAATTACAGCGATTCTTCATAGTGAAAGCAGAGCAGCATTTGCCCAGCTCTCTGGGAACTGGGAACTGGGTCCTGCTACTGGGCCCTTGGTAACAAGGATTTTGTTTAGGTTTGGTTCTTCAGTTTGGTTAGAGTCAACAAGGTTGATGGTTAAGTGAAAATTACTGTGGCAATGCGGACTCTCCAGCAGGTAATCATTATGGCCGTGTTAGCTTAGCTATTTACTGACCACCGCAGCAGCTTCATCAAAACTAAATCCACTTTTCTTTCCCCTTTTCATGGTTAATCCCTTACCAAAATAATAATAATAAAGGAAAAAACAGCAGTGCAAATAATTGCAGAGCTCGGGGGAAATATTCATCTGAATTAGCCAAGCTAAGCAGGTTTAGCAGCAGCTCACTGAGGTTCTCGTTTCGGCTTCTGCTCCTGCTTGAGTTTGCTTCTCTTCTTTTTTTGCCTTGCTTTATTGCAGCGCTAAACTCTAATTACAAAGCACATGAGTGTATTGTAATTACATGTGACACTTAATTACCGCACTCACACAACGAGTCGAAGCCAAAACCAGAAGCGGAAGTTCAAGCACAAGCAGCAGCCATCGAAGGGAGCAAGCACTGAGGAAATTTGTTGTTATGCTTTTTTGGAAAATTATCAAGTATGAATATAAATTTTCTAGATATTCAACTTATGTTGCTAATCACAATACGTATTGCTAAATATGTTTCTAGAAATATATAATGAGAAGATATAAAGTGGTCCTGAAATATGTGTAAAACAAGGCAGATTGATTGAGAAAATAGGGAGAAAGGAAACTTCTGGAAACCGAAGTTCTAATACCCTTGAAGTTTGATCATGAAAATCTTCATAGCTAAGCCAAAAATGCACCAATTTCAATGATTTCTAGGGTCGGAAATGATTCCTTCACTGCGTTTTAAGCTTTTGACTGAAATAATGTCCTGCAAAGCTTTAATGATCAACTAAGCCTGATGAATTTGTGATCTATTGTTATTGTTTAATTCTACTCTCAAATATTTATTCTCATCCTATTTCTCCCAGTGTATGAATCAGAATTGAAACGAAAAGCCAGAAGTCGGATTCCCAGAGAGCATCGGGAGTAACCGAGTTAAGCCAAACATTAAATGTAATGCGCCCCATAAAAATAAAGCTGCTACAGAGCTCCCAGCTACTGCTGATGCTGACTGTATTGTGCTAAGCAGGATGCCACTGTGTGTGTGTGAGTGTGTGTGGTGTGTGTTTGTTCAGTTCCTGCTGCTATGCATTAGCGGCAATGACAAAAAGTCAATAAACGAGGGAGAAATTGCTAAGGGGGAGAGTAGAGTAGACCTCACACACACACACTCCGAACACTCTGCACACCGCACAAATTGAAAAGGGTAATTTTGTGTGAAGTAGGCACCTTTATGCCTCCCCCAGCTACCAGTCCCCGCTCCCAGACATCAGCTATCAATGCTGACTACGCTTGAATTCGCCACTTGGCTTATCATCATGCTGCGCGCTTTTGCTACTCTGCTTTCTGCTTTCAGCTTTCAGCTTTCTGCTTTTGCTTTCGCTTTTGGCTTATTTGCTTTTTGCCTGCTGGCGGCTGTTGTTCTCTTATTTGTTATTTGGTTTTTATTTTTATACGGCTGCACGTTTTATATACATCCGCACACATAAAGGAATTAGCTTAAATACAAAAACAACATGTGGTAATAGGAATAATAAGAAAAGCCAAAACGCACACCCGCACACAGACGGACAGACACTCGCACATAGACAAACCGCAGGAGCACTTCACTTGATAATATCACACACACAAAAAACGAACGAATGAAAAAAAAGAGAAATCCGGAAGCTCTCTCTGCCTGTCAGTGGTGTGCGTGTGTGTGCTTCTGTGCGTGTGAGTAATGATATCAGCAGAAGCTGTGCATTGTGTTCAACATATGTTTTTCTTACTCCACAAAAAAATGTGGCAAACTTGTTGCCAGCGAAATAAAAGCGTAGCATACTTATAAGGGAAAGTGTTAACTAAAAAGCCTGATTGTTTAAAATAATTATTCTAGTTGTGTTATTTATTTTAATTATTTATTTTATCAATTGTAATTCCTGACCATTTGTATTTCTAAATTCCATTAATTCTTATGTTTCTACATCAATTTTTCCGTTCTGTTTCACTATTCTACATTTATTTCAGTTTATTTACTTTTAATTATTTATTTTATCAATTAAGGTAAGTTTATAATATAAAGAATAAAGAATTTAATTTTATTATTTCCATTCACACTCTTCTTAAAATATTTTACCATTTATATTTCCCTATAATAAACCCTCTTCCTATTGGCTTCAATTAAAGTTAGCACTAATAATAAATTCCGTTTCATTTGCCATATTTTCCTGACCAAAATGTAATTGGAGGCACAAAAAGAGTAACATACGTTTTTTTGCCACGGGCTTATTTTGCGGACATTATTAGGGTAATGTATATTGGTTACTGTTGCTTTTTTTTATCTGGAAGTGTGCCTGTGTTGGGTAATTAAATTTTAAATGCCCTACCCCTTCTGCAAAAAGGAACGGGTGGCCGGCCAACTAACTGAGCTTACTTAGTAGTATGTAGTATCCCGGTCTCTAATGCATTCGTTATGGCACATTAACGCTCCCCAAGTGCCGCCCAGCAGTGTGTGCGAGTGTGCGTGGCATGCTACAGGGATTTGCCAGGTCTCTCTCTGTGGGATATAGCCTTCGCAGGATGGAGCACAAGTGTTGTAATGGAGGTTTGGGTGTGCATTACACGGTTCAAAAACCCGGGCTAATGCCCTCACACAGTTGGGCTTACTCTCGGACTTTTGCGACGATTTCCTTTTTTGCCAAGCTGACCGGAAATGTTATTTTAATATGCTTTCTAAAAAGTATGCTAAATATTTGATTACCAACTGGGAGTCCTGTGTGTGTGCGAGTCGCCTCTGTCCACTCCTCTCTCTCTCTCCCTGCCCGCCTCGTGTACGTTTGTGGCACATATGGCCAGGACGATAAGCTGCTGTCCAGTTTGCCCCCAAAGGGAAGGGGGGGAAACGCTGCACAGAACCCAAGTGGACCGTTTCATTGTTGTCTCGCCTCTGTGCCATTTTAATGAATTTTCCCAGCGCACACCCCCTAGATTTTCTCCCACAACGTAAGCAACGCCCCATTGCCGAAGGGCGTGGGCAGTTTTCTGGGCACTCACTGATTTCTATGATGACATGTGCCTTTTCAGTCCCCTTCTGTCTCCTCTTCAATATCACTGTCTCTGTGTGTGTGTGTGTCCCTCTTTCAGCGCGTTTCCTTTGCTTCCGCCTTTGTTGCCGGGTAACTGGGTCAGCGCGCAATTGTTGCCTCTGAGGGTTGCTAGCTGGATGGATATCCCCTCCCCCCATCTCTACAGTTTTCCATCTGCTCGTGAAAAACCCATCCTCCCCCAGTCGGTGGTCCTTGTTGTTGTCCAAGGCAGCGGTGGAAAGATAATCACGCATATGCCTAACGGTTAAGTTTTTGAAGTGCGCCACGCTGACGGACACGGAATACGGAGAAGGGACTATGGAATACGGAACACGGAGTACGGATGAGACGGAAGCAAAGGGTGTCAGCGTCATCAGAAGCTAGCACAAAAAAAAAAAAAACAAGAAAAAGCCTACACTTTTGCCTTTATTGTTGCTGTAATGAGCAATTCATAAACTGAGAGAAAAAAGGTCATGTAATATAAAATCTTTTAAGAAAAGAATGGAATTTTATTTGAAATTGTTGTTTAGTTGAAATTAACCTCAAGGCATTTCTAACTTCCAGAATTAAGCAAAATAAATCAACAAAGTACTTATTTGATACTCTAAATATTATTACAGTATAAAATCAATAATGTAAACCTCAATTTAATCACAGTGCATAAAGTGCTTGTAGCATTGTCTCTTTCATATTTGTCCATCCCTTTGGACCCAGTCGGTCGGTCGGCCTTGCCTTTTTCTTTTGGGGGTTGGATGTTGTTTAATTTCTCACATTGCGGGGCTCACATGCGATTTTCTACTCGAAGACGCTTTAAAAGGGAGCAAAAAGCTGAAAAGCTGAGCTCACGCACACGCACACACTCACAGAGATCATGTGTAATTGAGAGCAAAGGCAAATGATATGCACACCCATACCAAACCATGTGATTATCCAGTCAAAAAAAGGGACTTTTCGGGTATTATTACTCGACGGGCAAAGAGAAGAGAGTTGCCTGGACACAAGGCATAAAATAAAAGTGCCCAAATTAGAAGGCAGCCCGTCGTTCTAATATTCTTTTGCGTAATGAGCAGTTTTCCTGCTTCCATCCATGACTTGTGATTTGTCTTTCGTTGCCGTCCACTATCATAATTTCATTTGCCACAAAATGGCCAAAAGGAGCAAGGCAGTGAGTCAGCGGAATCCAGTCAACTTGCCTCGGCTTTAATTCAGCCACGAAGAGCAACGAGTTGATAATAACTCCAGTGTTGTGTGAGTGCGGGTTGTGGCAGATACTAAAAGAGGGGGGTAGGGTAGCAAAAGAGGGACACAGTACCGTACGGGCACATCAT